CAGAACTTGATAAATCCTTCGTACGCGCTATCGCTGAGGTTGGGTGGTCGCACAAGAGTTCGGAGGAATTGTCAGACAGCTTTGAGTTTCTCGTCGGCGCTGTGCAGTGCGCTCGATCTCGGAACGATGCTGTAGTCGTCCTCCTCCCCATTGAAATTTTGACCGCCCTTGGTCAGCTCGTACGCGGAGATGGTTCAGAGCCACGCCGATGGAGGGGTCTGTACCTGGTGAATAAACGAGTGTAAGTTATCAATCCAATCGTCGATGTCGCCCGGTTGCCGCGGTCTCCTTGAGAGACCGTCGTGCCCGTGCATCGTCCCAGGAACGTGGACAAGTGTGAAATGAAACGTTAAAATAGAAACAATCCACCGATTAACACTCGCACTGGGTGCGATATCGGGATTTGCAAGCATACCCTTGATATACCTAGCGTCGACCTCAATCACCAAGTTCCGAACACCGATCAAATACAAACGAAGTGTTCAGAGCGCTCGAAAAAGGCCGTAAATCTCAAGCTTTGGTTGTGAGAATCGCCGTTCCCGATCATTAAGCGTAATCGAACCAAATCGGCTATAATATCGGAGTCGGGTGTTGGCTTCGTCGGTCTGGCAAAGGTGATATCCAACGGCGATATACGAAGTGTCGACCGCCATAATGACTGGAGCGGCGGAGTCGTAGTTGATCACGCGCAGCGCTGCTGAGTTGAGTAAGGCGTCCTTGAGATCCTGTTGGGAAGCTAATTGCTCGGGACCGAACTCGAAGTCCGCATCCTTTTGCGTTAGTCGAACAAGGGGTTCTGCGCGATGCGCGAAGTTACGAATGAATATACGTACGACTCCGATGGTTCCAAGAAATGCTCGAACGTCAGAGAGTGTCTCGCAGGGTCCCCAGTTTCGGATGACTGCGACTCAAGACTAGTCGGGTAGCCGTCCCTCTGGCATGCATCGATGCCCGACCACCATGATTTCCCACGCAATCAAGACACTTTTCGGTCCCAAGAAGGTGCCACCAGCGTAGCGCATCCGAGTAACCACTTGATTGAGGTTCTCGAAGTGCTGCCATACGAATCGACAAATCCCATTGTTCTCGAGGAGTCGTTCACCTCCGTAATCTGTTTCGGGGCCCTTGATCAGAACGTCGTCAATGTACGGGATGGTAATCTTGGGAATCTTGGGCTGCAGGATGTAAGTAACGTCCTCGTGGAAGATTGGAACCGAGTTTGTCCAGCCCATTGGCAACGTTCGTAGTCGAAGCGCACCATACGGCGACTGAAATGTGGTGAGGTCTCTCAATTTCTCCGCTATAAGGTGTTCGTTGTAGCCTACGAATAGGTCAAGCATTCCCCCACAGGGTCGGCCGCCGAACTGTTCGGCGAGATGTTCGGGCGTTGGAGGAACTCCCGAATGTTGAATCGTTACTGCGTTAAGGGGTTTGAGACTGTGAACAATACGAAGTGCTTTACCGTCCTTTTTAACCACGCAAAACCATCTCGATCAATACGATGAGTTCGAGGGTTCGTATACCCCCGCGTCAAGCTTTCGCTTTACCTGTGTGCAAACCTCATTGTACAGTCCCGGCGGAATTGGGATGTTTTGCTGGACCCAAGGCGTGTGCGGAACCACGGGGATCTCGACTGGAGGGAAGTAAGCCGGTTTGAAACAGCCCGTCTCGTCGTCGGTCCATGTGAAGGTGTCGTTGTGTAGCGACATGAAGTGATGGACGAGCTTGCGTTCGGCTGGTAGAAGGAAGTCCCCACTGTGCAATTTGTCGGACATTTGTTTCCGCTCCTTGGTGTATTGGCTGGTAGGCACGAACGGTGGCGGGTGCTTCGAGAGTGTCGGCATGGTTTCGAGGGGATCGCCTCTGATGTCGCGACGAATATGAAACTGTTCATCGACGGCCCCGAGGACTGGCCAAGTCTTCAAGGCGACTGGTTTATACTTCTTCTTCGTGCCGGCGAATGATTCGTATATCGGTTTGTTGTCTTCATCGTCGCTGTCGTCATCTACGGGCATCAATTCTGGTAAGTCCAAATCAAATGAAATGGTATCGTAGGAGTTCTGGGATTTTATCGGGGCATTTTCGAGGTTCGGAGAAGAAATCAAAGAAATATCGTAAGGCGAAACAGAAGGAGAAAATGACGATTTCGAGGTTGCACTGGGTGCTTGTGAGGAAACAGAGATACTATGAGGAACTACTGGCCGAGACTCGGGAATCGGGAAATCAGCGGCTGCTAGAAAGCTCGAAGCCCAAGTCGCAGCATCGGCGAACGCGCTCGAGGTATTCGAAGCGTCTTTAGTGTACAGAGACTGTAGGTAAGGAAAAACATTATCACATGCAGAGAGATAGAGAGCGGGAATAGTCTGTTCATTCTGAATCGAGGATATCAGGGCGTACAAAGTTATATGAGGATCCCCA